GGTATGAAGGAGCCAACACGACAACATCATCTGCAAAGAGCAGAGATGAAATCGTGTAGTCCCCAAACCTGACACCCTCCGGCCCTGGCTGCGCCTAGAAATTCTCTCCATAAAAATTATGAACAGAACCGGCGACAAAGGGCAGCCCTGCCGGAGTCCAACATGCACCGGTAAGAAGTCTGACTTACTACCGGCAATGCGAACCAAGCTCCTGCTTCGGTCATACAGGGACCGGACAGCCCTTAGCAAAGGACCCCGGACCCCATATTCCGGAGCACCCTCCACAGGCCGCCTCGGGGGACACAGTCGAATGCCTTCTCCAATCCACAAACACATGTGGACTGGTTGGGCAAACTCCCATGAACCCTCCAGCACCCTGTAAAGAGTGTAGAGTTGGTCCAGTGTTCCACAGCCTGGACGAAAACCGCACTGTTCCTCCTGAATCCGAGGTTCCACTATCAGCCGTATTCTCCTCTCCAGTACCCTGGCATAGACTTTCCCAGGGAGGCTGAGAAGTGTGATCCCCTATAGTTGGAACACACCCTCCGGTCCCCCTTCTTAAAAAGAGGAACCACCACCCGGTCTGCCATCCCAGAGGCACTGTCCCCGACCGCCACGCGATGCTGCAGAGGCGTGTCAACCAAGACAGCCCCACAACATCCAGAGACTTGAGGTATTCGGGGCGGATCTCATCCACCCCCGGTGCCTTGCCACCGAGGAGTTTGACTACCTCTGTGACCTTAGCTAGGGTGATGTACGAGTCCACCCCTGAGCCCTCCGCCTCTGCTTCCTTAATGGAAGACGTGACGGTGGGATTGAGGAGGTCCTCGAAGTATTCCTTCCACCGCCCGACGACATCCCCAGTCGAGGTCAATAGCCGCCCACCCCTACTGTAAACAGCATTGGCAGGGGACTGTTTCCCTCTCCTGAGGCGCCGGACAGTTTGCCAGAATCTCTTCGAGGCCAGCCGATAGTCCTTTTCCATGGCCTCACCGGACTCCTCCCAGGCCCGAGTTTTTGCCTCCACAATCACCCTGGCCGCAGTCCGCTTGGCCTGCCGCTACCTGTCAGCTGCCTCCGGAGTCTCACGAGCCAACCAGGCCCGATAGGACTCCTTCTTCAGCTTGACGGCATCCTTTACTTCCGGTGTCCACCACCGGGTTCGAGGATTGCCGCCTCGACAGGCACCAGAGACCTTACGGCCACAGCTCCGAGCAGCCGCTTCGACAATGGAGGTGAAGAACATGGTCCACTCAGACTCAATATCTCCAGCCTCCCTCGGGATCTGGTCGTAGCTCTGCCGGAGGTGAGAGTTGAAGATCTTTCTGACAGGAGATTCGGGCAAACGTTCCCAGCAAACCCTTACAGTACGCTTGGGTCTGCTGAGTCTGTCCAGCCTCCTCCCCCGCCATCGGATCCAACTCACCACCACCAGGTGGTGATCAGTTGACAGCTTCGCCCCTCTCTTCACCCGAGTGTCCAAGACATACGACCGCAGATCAGATGAAACGACCACAAAGTCGATCATCAACCTACGACCTAGGGTGTCCTGGTGCCACGTGCACTGGTGGACACCCTTATGCTTGAACATGGTGTTCGTTATGGACAAACTATAATTAGCAAAGAAGTCCAATAACTGAACACACTCGGATTCAGGGGGGGGGGGGGGGGGCGTTCCTCCCAATCACGCCCCTCCAGGTGTCACTGTCGTTGCCCACGTGAGCGTTGAAGTCCCCCAGTAGAACAACGGAGTTCCCATTCCCACCCAATCCTCTCTGCACCGGCCCCTTACGGCTCCTCCTGCAGGTGGTGAGCCCATGGGAAGGCTTTCCTAATCAAGTGGCTTTCCTAATCAAGTCCAATCAATATAATCAAACACAGCTGGACTCAAATGAAGGTGTATAACCATTTTAAGGATGATCAGAAGAAATAGACAGCACCTATTAAATATATGAGTGTCACAGCAAAGGGTCTGAATACTTAGGACCATGTGATATTTCAGTTTTTTTTTAAATAAATGTGCAAAAATGTCAACAATTCTGTGCTTTTCTGTCAATATGGGGTGCTGTGTGTACAATAATGAGGGAACAAATTTAAGGGGTCTGAATACTTTCCGTACCCACTGTGTATATATAAATACATACATACATATATATATATATATATATATACCCTAGTGTCGAGTTATGCATTCACCTTAAGAACTTCATCTATCTATCTATCACACCAGTCCTCAGGTCTTTACACTGGCTCCCAGTTAAATTTAGGATTGATTTTAAAGTATTATTACTGGTATATAAATCATTCAATGGGTTAGGACCTCAATATATTGCAGATATGCTCACTGAATATAAACCCAACAGATCACTCAGATGACTAGGATCACATCAGCTAGAAATACCAAGGGTTCACTCTAAGCATGGAGAGTCTGCTTTTAGCTATTATGGCAGCCGCAGCTGGAACCAGCTTCCA